TCTGATGTATTTTGATCTTATTATTTTTATGTTAGAAGCCTCCAAATAATCATCATTTCAACAGTGCCCCAATTAGCCGGCCATTCACAGTGGATTGAAAATTGACTCACACTGGGCCTCTCCATTAGCGCCTGGGAGAGACTTCCAGCCTTAATAATCCTCCCTGCTCCAGAGGCTGGGTGCTTGTTTTATACCACAGGTTGTCATAGGAGGGGCCACCATGCCCCTTTAAGGAAGAGGCTGTCGGCACAGGTGGGAGCAGCAGCATGGCTCTTAAGTCTTATGGCTACTACTTTTGGAAAAAGAAATGAGTTTTGAGTTTAGCTTATGTTTCATCATGGCATCTTGTTCCCCTCCCTTCTTCCATATTCTGCTCCTTCCTGCAGGTCCCCTCCATTCCATAGTTTATCCCCTAATATCTTCATGTCACTTGTTTACTGTTTTCCTCTTCTCCAAAGTCCGGGTGACTTTTTAAAGGGGAGTTCTGAGACAGGGTTTTGCTGTGTAGCTTCGGCCGGTCTGTAACTCACTGTGTAACCCAGGCAGGCCTTGAATTCATGACAGTTTTTCTGCCTCAGGCTCCAAAGTGATGGGGTGAGTCTCCACACCCCTTGGTAACAGGTACTTCTTAAGGTCCTGGGCATGACTTGGGTGCAGGTGTTGCTGGAGGAAGATAGGAAGGGTCCCTGGAGAGAGGAAGGAAACTGATGTCTGTTTGGTACCGTCCTTGTGCAGGAAACTGATGTCTGTTTGGTACCGTCCTTGTGCGGGGTGGAGAAGGCACTTGCGATTGGCGTTCTGAGTCAGTAAGCGGAGACGCCTGTCTCCATTGACTAGAACACTGAGGCTCAGAAAGGAGCTTGTGCCCATGGCCACATGGCTGCTGACCAGATGGACGAAATGGGAACTTGTGTTTTTGAGACTCTATGCTATTCCCAGATCTGGTGAGGTAGCTTGTGGTGAGCAATTTTGCACAGTCCTTGGGTCTTCATCATACTGTACCCTATTGGTTTAAAACTTCATTTGAGATTCTGATGCCAACCACTTAACTACATCTCCTGCATCCTAGAAAACCTCCTTTCTCTTTCCTCTTGCCAGACCGTAGAACATTTGTCCTGGGAGGATCCACAGTGCACAAGGAGAGACATATATGCTATTGGTGTGTTGGGCATTTACGCGAAATAGACAGGAGGGAAGGAGCCAAACCTTGGTGTTCAGTGGCTTGTATGTACAAATGGGGAAACTGAGGCTCAATAGAGTTTGGTGTATATAGATTAGGGAGCTGGCTTACAATGGAAGTCAGGTGGTGACTTAAGAGAGAGCTGGGGAGATGGGTAATAAGCCAGGAGTAACTGATGGCTTGTAGGAAGGGTACAGGAGATGGAGTTCCTGGACCATTAAGTCTGTCACTGTTCAGTTTATTTGAAAGGATCTTAATGCAGTGTCTTAGTATTGAAGAGACAATCAAAGAGCAACCCATTCACTATCACGGTGTCTTCGCCATTTGGGTTTCTTGTCTTATTTGAAGTCATGTTTCTATCACATAGCAATCAGCATACAGTTTTTTTTTCTCTTGACCATGTCTCAGAAGCATTTCAGCCATGTCTGTTGCAGCCTGGGAATGGCCTGGTAGTTCACCTTCGTCTAGCCCCATCCCTTGATGCTTGTGTGGCCTCTCGTTTTATTATCTCAGAAGCAGAAGCAAAAATCTGTTTCCTAAGGGGCTATAATGAGAACAACATGGATTCATACGTATCAAATGCTCCACAGAGCTGGCGCAGAGGAAATTCTCACACAGTAGCCCTCTTTCCTCCATGATTCTCCACTTATCCATCATTGGAGGATTCTTTCTGCTTTTTAAAAATCAATTACCTATTCATGTCATGAAATTCTGGCAAAATATAGGAAAATAAAAAAAGAAAAGCATTCCCAAATTGCTCTCACTTTGAACATTTTGCATTTTTTCTTTCTAGTCTTTCTTTCATACATATTGAATTTTACTTAATTGACGTTGTAAAATACATAATACATGTATTTTTGTATGATTTTCATGTACCTTTTTTATGACAAGTACTTACCCATATTGTTATGGTGTTTGGTGCACAGCTGTAAAGGTTGTGTGTGCTTTTAGGGTCTAGCACTTCTATACCCACACACCTATTTGCATCTTTCTGAAGGTTTGCAGTGTTTTCTGGGTACCACCAAGTATCCTCTTATATTTCTGGATCTAGCACTGTTCCCATGGTCTGGATAGGTGCCCAGAGAGGAATGAGGAGCACAGGGTATGAAAACATCAGGATCCACACTGTATCCTTGCACAAATCTTTATGAGATGCCATGATTTTCCCACTGTGTGTGTGTGTGTGTGTGTGTGTGTGTGTGTGTGTGTGTGTGATGAGCATGGCAGAGATCATTCTTGTCCTCCTTGAGCTGGAGGGTCCGAGGAGGGTCAGGGGGCTATAGAGGCAATGTGAAGTGCCATGGCGAGGAAAGGAAAGTGTGGGTATCTTGAAAGAAGGGCTTGGTCAGCTGGGGAGGCTGATTCGGTCCTGAAGCAAGAATGTGTATGCAGCAAGCTGAGTTCCAGAGCCGAGGCAGGTGACTGAGAATGTAGAGATAGAATGAGGAGCATTAAGTGCAGGCGTGGTGTGCCAGCCAGATGTTCCCCAGGTAGGCATGCCTGTGTGTGAGTGCATGCAGGGGTCAACATCAGGTGCTGGCTTCTGTCACCGAGGTAGTATTTCTCACTGAACCACTGACTTACCTCGTGGAGCTGCTCAGAGAGCCACAGGGTTCCTCTCATCTCCACCTGCCTGGTGCTAGGATTATAGGTGTGCTCTATTCTGAGATGCTAATACAGTCGCATCATTTCTCCCCTTTCCTCCTTCAAACCCTTTCATGCACCCCCCCTTCGCTCTCTTTCAAATTCATGGCTTCCTTTCTCATTGGTTGTTGCTACCTATGTGTGTTTGTGTTCCTGAATATACAAATACAACCTTCTAAGTCTGTGTAGTGTTATTTGTATATATGTATTTTCAGGGCTGACCATTTGGTATTGGGAAAATCAATTGATGCGTTCTTCCTGGGGAAGACTCTTGTTCAGCATTCCTTAGTTGCCCATAGCTTTTTTTTTCTTTTTTGCAACATATAAACTGTTACAGAAAATCACAACCAATACAGATAGACTGTTACAGAAAATCACAACCAATCAAAACACAGAGTTGTAGAGCCCAGTTCCAACTGATAGGTCTTTAACATAACTCCTGCACCTAAGGCTTAAGAATCATTTTGAAAGAAGGGATGGAATGGTTGTAAGATCCAGAGGAACGGGGAGTTTGCTTTGAGATTGCAGCTCTAGGCATGTCAGAAGCTACACTCTTGAAGTCTCACCAACAGGACTTCCTAAATGTGAGCTGAACAATACACAGGTTAAGATGGATGAAGCTCAAAGAACTCCGGGCACCTAAGGAATGTGTGGTCTTTTGTTTCTGGGTGCTGGGCATCAGAACTAAGATCCTTATGACGTGGGGCAAGGATTTTATATGTGAAGCCATTTCCCTCGTCCTCGCTGGGTGTCTTTAAATAGATAAAATGTGATTGGATTTCTGTGAAACCAGCATGGAGGGACAGAACATTTGGGTGACTATGAGATCCTTGAGAGACCCCATGTCCTTTGTTCCCCAACTCTAGCCCTTGGCATGTGAAGTGGAGGCATCAATGGGGACTGGGCCTGAGTTATCACCTATGATGTTCCCCAGAGTGTATGGCAAAGCCCTGGTATGGGAGAAGCTGCTGTTGGTGCCAGCCTGTGAAGGGAACACCCCCCCACTTCACATATTTTCCAGCCTTTCACTTCCTTCCACTTGGGGTGAGCGCTCTTGTTTTTCGCCTCCTTCTCAGCCCTGTCTGAAGCATTACATAAACTCCAGGGCTCCCACGAAGGAACTGCATTGTCAAAGTTGTTCAAAGCCTACCGCGTGTAGCAGATGGCTCTCTGCCATTCACAGGCTGTGTTTTGAGACTGCATCTGCTTTCCCACACTCCTGCCATCACACAGAGCATCCATAAGACAGGCTTGCCTCAAAACTGGTTCAGGGAGTTGTGTTGCAGGGAGTAGGGTCTTTGTATCTTCTCTGATGTCCCTAATAGGTGTGAGCTTATGGCTAGTGGTGGTGCCCCTTGGAGTCATTGGGTGACTTCCAAAGTCCGGGCTCCTGAGTGTGTCATCCCAGAAAGGGTGCCTGTCATCTCAGTCTGATTTCTCTGTGCCCTTGGTAACTGCCTGAGCTACGGGTGCCTCTTCTTTTGTGATTGTCAAGTGGCTTTTGAGCAATCCTGGGCTTCTGGAGCCATCTACTTCATCTGGGATTTGATCCAGTATTCTTGTGATAGAACTCAAGTGGACTTGGCCAGGAGACTGAGGCTCCTGCCCACTTCCATTCCCTGTTCTAGGTCCTCTGGGGGTAAGTATATGTCTTCCTGACATCATGATGTCATCCAGGTCTTGCAGATCCAAGCAGTTCAGTTCAGGCAACAATTGCAGAGCACATGCTGTATTCTTTGCCCATGACACAGGACATAAAGATTCCCCAGCATGAGCTTTGGTCCCTCCCCAGCATTTTGGCTACTGGCCCCAAGGTGAGAAACAGTGTCTAATTGAGAGTCCTGTTTGGTGAATCAGGGAGATTTGGGGTGGATCCCTGCTGTACCACCCTTCTTTGACTGCTCTGGAGTTAATGATTTTGCCACCTCTGACCTTTCTTTCTTTCCTCATCTGTTAAATGGGCCTGAGATTATGTAGCTGCATGTTGCACCAAGGTTTTCAGTGTTCATGGTATAAGGTTATCAGCAACTAATTAATGAGAGCTGCTAGCCTTCCTGGGCTCTTGGTCTGTGTGGGGAGACATCACAGGGCTACAGGCATGGGTGGAGCCGTGGGAGTGAGGCCTGTACAGTCGTGGCCGTGCTGATTTCTTCCTGTCTTTTTCCTCTCTTTCCAGCCTGTGACCTCATGACCCAGGGAATTTTGGCCTTGGTCACATCCACAGGCTGTGCATCTGCCAACGCCCTGCAGTCCCTCACAGATGCCATGCACATCCCACACCTCTTTGTCCAGCGCAATCCCGGGGGTTCACCACGAACTGCCTGCCACCTGAACCCTAGCCCTGACGGTGAGGCCTACACACTGGCTTCGAGACCACCTGTCCGTCTCAATGACGTCATGCTCAGGCTGGTGACAGAGCTGCGCTGGCAGAAGTTCGTCATGTTCTATGACAGCGAGTATGGTGAGTCTGGGGTGGGCGGGCTGAGGCTTGGTTTTAGGGACAGCTGGGTGCTGGTAGTTTTAACACCAGAGGCTTCAATCAGGGGACACAGAACTGGAGTGCCATCAGGGTGTAGATCCATGCTGGTGGTCTGAACGGAGTCTTCCTCAGGGTGGTAGGGCCCAACCTTGAGCTTCATGAATTGGAGAAGAGCTGCAAAAACAGATCTGTAGATAGGCACTAAAGTTGCCTAGCAACATCACCTTATCATGACAGCTGAAGTTTGAATCATCTTAGAATTTTCAATAAAATATTAATAAACTGCTGGCAGGGATCTGAAGAGCTGCTTACAGGCAGCGGTGGAGGCTGCCTGCCTGGGTCTTCTTGGCATCTTCTCTGAAGGTTACCCCTCATGCTGGATGCTGGTCCAGCCTTGACTTATTATTTGCATCCACCTCTATCTACCCAGCTTCAGGGTCTTGGGCTGGGGCAAAGAACGGAAGGAGGGAAACCTTAGCCGGTGGGCCTGGGGACACTGTATGACTGTGTACGGCTGCTCTGAAGACCTCTTCGGAGGAAGGAAGCATACTTTACTTGCTAGGAAACCACAAGAGTGGGCTTGGGAGAAACCGCTTCATGTTTGGTGACAGCGCCTATGTAAATAGATCAGCTCGAGTCCGGAGATAAAATGGCTTCCATGATTTGTGCTTCAGAAAGGTTTTACTTGGAGACCATCGCCAGCCTCATGCCATTCTGAGAATCACTGCAGAAGGGTCTCCTGCGCCCTTCACCCTGTCTTCCTGAGGCTAGCACTTTGCTTAGCTGTAGTGCAGCATCTCAATCAGGGTTTGATCCGGGACACCCTGTACCCTCTTCTTAGTATACCAGTGTCCATGCATGTGTCCAGTCCAGTCTGCCGTGGGAATGGATTCCTGTCTGCAGTGTTTATCTTACGTGCATGCTTGTGTGATTACCAGCCGGGACCCAAAGTGGTTCGCTTAAGAACTGCTGTGCTGCACCGTTAGAGCCGCAGTCACCCCAATACCTGGTCAGAGTTGATGGGCACTTGTAAGGCTTGGAAGTCCCCTTAGCTGAGGTTTGGATGGAACCATGCAACACTCTAAAGTCCAGCTTTGTCTCCTGGTGAAATAATCCCTTTGCCAAGAATGTAACTAAGAAAAGAAATCAGCATATGTTTGCATTTGCCTAAAGACTCTGCTTCCCTAAGTCTGGGACGCTGTCCTCCGTGCTTGAACAAATAAACTGTTTGGAGCCTTCCAGGAAGAATTGAAAGAGCAAACAGTTACTGTGTTGAAATCAAAATGCAGTATTGGTGGGGACAAGGGTGGCTCAAGGCTCCAGGGATTTTCCTGTCGTGCCCGGGAACTGGCCTTTCCAACACCTGCTCAGTCTCAGGTCCTGCAGGGGCTGGAGACCTTGTAATAGCACTGATGTGCCCAGGGTATGTCTGAGAAATCAGGCTTTACCCCAGGAACCAGATCTGGTGGGAGGTGTGGCCACTGCCCGGGTTTGGGCATGTTATATTCTAGGATACCCAGTCCCTTTCTGATCTGCTCCTCTCAGGGTCTCTGGCCTGCACACCCCATTCTCCTTGGGGTCTTTTGAGAAGCCACAGCTGCAAGGGGCGAGGACAGGAGGTGAGCTCTGTAGCCTGCTCACTGTCTGGCCTTCTGTGATTCCTGGAGACTGAGTGGTACCTGAGGCGCTTCCAGACCCTGTCCTTTCTTCTCATTATACTTCTCATTTCCATGTAACTCACATAGAGACTTCCAGGGAAAGGGGGCTTCCCCCACCTGGGTCCAGCATTGCTGGCTTCTTGGTCACCTGCCCACCCGTCCTCAGTCCACTTCCCTTAGCCTGCCACTCGTGAGGACTTGTCCCTGTTGTCTACTGGGCTCCTGCGGAGCTGGTTATGCCCAGAGGAGAAGGCCATATGCTTGTTTTTTTTTTCTTTCTCATTGTAGTTCAGCACTGTGCCTGGCACCATATGAATGACAAATTCATGGATGAAGACGTGGGCGTTTCCAGTGGTTTTTGAAAAAGACAGAGGAGAGATGTGGAGAAGGATGAGGGTACTGGGTGACCTGACATCTGCTCTCGGATGGGTAGGGAGCTAGGAAGAGTGGTTCATTTTGCAGAAACACTTCTAGCTCATGTTCTTCATCCCCCAACCCCAAACCTGAACAGCCCCCAAAGTGCACCTCTCTGCTGATAGGATGCTCTCCCACCTTTCCTGGAGTTGGCTTTAGTGCTTGGCTAAGCCTGCCCTGTATCATTAATCCCGCAAACATGCCGAGTGACATAGCCGCTTTCACCGGATAAGTCACTGTGTTGAGAAGGATGCTGAGGCTCAGGGGCACAAAGCCATGGTTAGGGTGCCAGGAGGCTTCCATGGTATAGGGAGGGACTGGAAGCCGCTCACCAAGTCTGCTGATTGTAGTAGTGTGGTCTGGAAGTGGGTGGAGCACGTCAGAGGTGAAGGAAGGCAAAGCCCACCCCAACCTGCTGATGGTGCTGTCCAGGGTCCTGACCCATGTGGCGTTGGTTGCTCTGGAGGTCACAGCTCTTTATTGCATTCTGTACAGGACCCTGTTGCTTTTGCCCACTCTGTTCATCAGCCTCTTAATCTGACAACCTTTGAAGCTAGTTTGTGTCTATAAAAGTTCCTCTGCCACGACTGTTGCTTCTTGGCCTCACTATTTCCTCACAAGTACCCCAGCCTGTTTGCTCCCAGAGTCCCATTAGGTGAGCTAAAGTAGACAACGCTCACAGCATACTCAGCCCTCAGAGTGGCATATGGTGGATCCACTGGCACTGGAATCCACTGGCCGAGGAATGTCCATGTGCCATGGTGGATTCATGTTGCCAGAGCCCCTGTGGTGGTGTAGTTTCAGAGGAGCCCAATTAAGAAGCAAATTGCGTGTAAACACTCTTACTCCTCCCCAAGTCAAATGGAAGCAACTTGGGATCTAGAGCCTTTTTAGTGCTGATCTGTAAGCATCTTTACACATTATTTCATTTATGCTACGTTTTACCACCTAAGCAATATGGTTCAGGAGATGCTGTTGGGCGCTAAGGCCCATGCACTTAGCCAAGGTACCATCCTATTTCTTGCTAGGCTTTAGTTTTCTTTCCTGGTGTCCAGTCAATCATAGTCATTGCCAAGCCGGGGCTGTGACTTAGAATGGACCCAGCATGCTTCAGGCTCATCCTTTAGTGAACATCACATACAGACCCTTCGTGTGTGTGTGTGTGTGTGTGTGTGTGTGTGTGTGTTTCTTCCCCATTTTCCCGTCAGTCTCCCTTTAATCTTAGGAAAGTCTTCCCCTGGTAGAACCTGAGGCCAGAGCATCTGCATCATATGTGAGATCAGAGCAGAAAAGCTCTGAGGGATTTGGCAGAAAGGCATACTGTGAAACTGAACTTTGAGTATCCCCTGAATGTCCCCATGTTAAAGGCTTGGTCCCCACAGGGATGATGTTGGGAGGGGCTATGGATCTCTCAGAGGGTAGGTCCTAGAGGGAAGTCTTTCAGTCACCAGGACAAGTCTCTGAGGAAGATTACGGGAATCCCACCTTTGTGTCTGATTCCTCACGTGTGATACGAGCAATGTTCCCTGTCTGGTTCTTCCACCATGACTGCCGCACTTCCAGAGATGCAAAGCACCGCGGCTGCCTGATCTTGAACTTACTGTCCATGACTAGGAGCCAAAGCAAACCTTCCTTTTAACATGGAAATTGCCTCAGGTATTTCACTCTGATGACAGTAGTCTGACTAATACTGGGTGAGAGAGGAGTCTGTATGCATTTGGTTTACAAAATATGAGAGGTGCCATTTGGTACAATTCCATGGAAAACACTTGTGTGCTTGTTGTGACAGCAAAGGGAAAATAGAAGGGAAACTGACATTTGGGATAGAAAATCCATAACATTAAAATACCAAAAGTTTGGATGGAATAGTGCAGAGAACTTTCTGTCTTCATGCTTCAGTTGCTGGTGTGTGTGTGTGCGCGCACGCGCGCGTGTGTGTGCATGTGTGTGTGTGTGTGCATGAGCATGCGTGCATGTGTGTATATACATGTGTGTACATGCACATGCAGGTGCATGCCATTTGCTGATTCACTTGGTAAATATTCATGGAATCTCTACCACATGACACACATTTTTCCTCTTGTTCATTGTAAAGGAAGAAACAGGGTCACTTTGCTCATGTTGCCTGTAACTGGCTTGGCCCAGTGTCTCACTTCTAGCGTCTCCAGGGTAGGCAGAATCCTGGAAGCTTGGGAACTATGATTCTGCAGAAGCAAAGCCTCAGGTCCCTGCCTGAGGGACCACTACATTTGTTTTAAAGTTACCGTGTGTGTGTGTGTGTGTGTGTGTGTGTGTGTGTGTGTGTATGTGCACACATGACCTGAGTTCAACCTCAGGTGTTTATTTTTCAATCAAGGTCTGTCACTGGGACTTAAGGCTTTTTGATTAAGCTCCTAGCTAGCCCAAGGACCCTCCTGTCTCTGTCCCCCACCCAAGGCTTTCTGCATTGGTGTAGGGGATGGAACTCAGTTCCTTGTACACTTTACTTACTGAGCCACCATGCCAACCCCTTACAAATCATCCTCTCAACACTGGTAGTTACACATGATTGTAATGCATATTTCCAATTAAAATATTAATAATGATAAAAGGAATTCCTGGAAGCTCGAGTCCTCAACTCGGGTTGTTTTCTATCCTTGTGAGGGGACTGAACTGCTGTCTTGATTGGTGCTGGCCAATCCCTGGCTATTTGGCCGCTCTGGATCCAGTAATAGGTGTTTGTTTATTTGGCGTCTTTGTGAACCGTGAATATGTGTAATAATGCTTCTGCAGCTGTTCTGAGCATCATCCATTTGATGCAGATATATTAATATTTTTATTGCCTCACAGTATATCTAATTTATCTACCTGATCATTAATGGGCACTTGGGTTATTTCCAGGTTTTGGTATTACAAGCAGTGCTGTTAAGA